CCCTCCGAATTGCCCCGCGGGGCATCCGCGGGCCCCACCGGCCCGGCCCGGCCCGCGCTCACCCGCCGCCGCCGCCGCTCTCCCGCCGCTCCCCGCCGGCCCGGGCCGCGCCAGGCCCCGCCCGCCCCGCCGCCCCCGGCCCCCGGCCCCGCGGCGGACGGGAGGCGGCAGGGGGTTGCACTACGGCCGGGCCGCGGGGCAGCGACGGCCGCGAACGGCCCTCTGGGGGCGACCGGTTCCTCAACCCGCCCCCAGGCCCCGCGGGCGGCAGGGGGGGTCGCGCCCCGCTCACCTCCGCGTCCCCGTCCTCCGCCATGGGCCCGGCTCCCGTCCCGGCGGCCGCCGCCTTCTCCCGGCCCCACGCGTGTGGGGTGCGGGTGGTGAACCCGCGCGTGGGTGCCGTGGGGCGCGGTGGCGGGGAGGTGCCCGGCGCTGGGTCGGCGCTGGGGCGGGAGGTGTGTACGCGTGGGGCCGTGTGACCCGCAGTGCCGTCCTGCCCCGCAGCCCGGGCACGGTCCGAGCCCGTGGCAGAAGGGGACCCAAAGGTGGAGGGATGGGGAATGGGAGCGCGGGGTTAGCAGCGAAGGACAAACGGCATTCATACTTCTGCTTTAATAAAAGTGTAGAGAAAACAGCACGGGGCCAAAAGGCGACTCGGGGCTCCCCACGATGGGGAGGACGGGCTCAGACACAGTGTTTTGCCACGAGAGGCTCCGAGGAGCCTGGGGCTGGGACCCCGAGGCCTTGCTGCTGCTGGTGGTGGTACCCCATGGCTGGGGAGACTGTGGTCAGAGCTGGCAGAGCTGTATGAGCACCATACCATGCGAGAGGTAAACGTGGGCCGTAGCCTCCACTTAGCAACCATATAATGACCTGCTCAGGGTCCAGAGACCCCAAAGTCGGCACATCTTCTCCCGCTCCTCTCATATTTCTGAGGAATGTGAGGATGCTCTGACAGGAGGAGCACAGCCGCATGGCACATGGTGTGCCCGAGTGCCAAGGCTGTCCCTGCCATGCTCAGGACTTGCTGGAGCCACCCACACCTCCATTGGGACCCTTCTTGGGTGAAGGTGCCTTCTCCTCCTTCACCTTCTTCAGCTTGGCCTTGCTTTTGCCATAGGAGGAGAAGGTGAGCGAGGCCTTGCTGAACTCCAGTGGGAAGACACCTACATCGCCATCAAAGCGGTTCTTGGACACCTGCAGGTAGCGCTTCCCGGGACCCGTCGTGAGCTTGCGGTCCTGCAGGATGAGGACGTTGTCGGCCTCCTGGCTGGCCTGGGGGAGGAGAACATCTCCAGGGGGTGCTACAGGGCACGGGGCACCCCCACATCCAGCGAGCTGTGGGGAACCGAGCGCTCGGAGGGTGAACCCAGCATCCTCCACCCTACCCCCATGGAGCAACTCATGCCACATCCAACCCACAACCAATAAGCATCAATCAGCTGTGTGCCACCAGGTAACAGGGGACACTCAGCCCCACCACGGCACGTTTTGGGTCATGGTGTGCCGATGTCCCCACCCTGTCCCCGCCTGAGGGCCAGGAGGAGCCACCTTGGCAGAGCCGAAGATGGAGGCAGTCTGCAGCTCCTTCTCGTCGTCCTCCTTGCGCGGGTGGATGACCAGCGTGATGTGGCACGTGTTGTCAGTGGCAAACTTGCGGAAGGCGCCGATGATGAAATCCTGTGCTGCCAACCTGCAGGGGACACCAAGGGGACACAATGGGGGCAGTGCCACAACCCCATGGGTGTCAGTGCTCCGTGGGGGTGACTGTCCCAAAATGGGGTAGGTTGGATATTAGGAAACATTCTTCTCAGAGAGCAGTGAGGGACTGGAACAGGCTTGTGGTGAAATGATCTCTCCATGGAGGTGTAAAAGAAAGATGTGGCACTGAGGGACGTGGCTTAGAGGGCACAGCAGGGCTTGGGGTTGGACTCAATGATCTTAGAGGTATTTTCCATTCTTAATGATTCTAATGTGTGTTCCTACACCAGACAGGACACCCAGATGATGTCAAACCCCCATAGAAGCATTACCTGTCTGCAGAGAGCTGCTCATGGCCCATCATGAATTGCAGGTTGTCCACCACCACGTGGGTGATGTCATACATGTAGACGGCGTGCTGCATGGTGTCGAGCACTGTCCTGCAAGGGGAACACCAGGAGCACTGGAAACACCCAGCCAGGCACAGGGGGAGCTGGCGGCACCACAGTGCCTGTTCCCCTCCCTCCTTTTTCCTCCACCCCTCTCCACCAGATGGATGCCACTGTGCAGCCCTGTGAGTCACACTTTGAAACCCCCACCACCACAGTGTGATCAGCCCCACATCTACTCCATTGTGGCGCAGCACACAGGAGAACACCATTAAGGGACGAAGGGATGGTGCCATACTTGATGTTCTGTTGGCCATGGAAGGTCATGAAGTAGAGTGGCAGGTCCTCAAAGCGGTCGGCCCACTCGTCATACAGCTCCAGCTGGTCCTCCAGGCGCCGGGTGGCAAACTGGGTCAGCATGATCTTGGCCAGGCGGATGTTGTTGATCTCAAAGCTGCCCCACAGCGTGCACACCCCTTGTGTGCACAGGTCCAGTGCATACTCACTAATGAATGTCGTCTTTCCGCTGCCTGTCGGACCTGGAAGTAAACAGGGAAATGAGTGCAATGGTGACGATCATACTAAAGGGTAGTTGGAAAAGAATTCAACAGGAGCAATCCAAGCTTGGGATGAGCTGGGAAGCAAGCTGGGGAAGAATGCGCAATGGCAATGGTCATACCAAGAAGAAGAACCAGAAGAAGAACCCAATGAGAGTAACCCAAGCTTGGGATGAACTGGGAAGCGAGCTGGGAGAGAATGCACAATGGCAATAGTCATACCAAAAAGAACAACCCAATAACAGCAACCCAAGCATGGGATGAGCAGCATCCCACGCCAGACTTTGGGTGGAGACCCTCACCAGTGAAGACGGTGAGCTCGCCTCTGCGGTGCCCCTTGAGCAGCTTGTTGAGCTCAGGGAAGCGCGCCCACTTGACACCAGCCACCTGCTCGCTGTTGGCCAGCTCCCCAAACACCTCCTCGCGCAGCTGTCGGAAGGAGACGATGGCTTTGTGTCCGGCAGGCAGGGCGGCACGCAGGATCTTGGTGAGGTTCAGCCCCCGGTTCAAAGCCTCCAAAGGCCGTGGCTGGAGGTCTCCGGGCTGCACCAGTGAGCAGCGCTTGGGGTTCAGCTTGCGGGCAAAGAGCTTGGCGGCTTCCCAGGAGCGCAGGTCGTCACCCAGCCACAGCGTAACACGCCTGAACTGCTCCAGGTAGGGCAGCAGGGCAGGCGGCAGGATGGTGGCCCCGCGCGGCAATGCCAGGCAGGGCACGCCAGTGGCCTGGTGCAGGGCCAGAGCGTCCAGCTCCCTTCCGGTCAGCACCACCTCGGTGTCACGACGGCCGATCAGCGGCAGCCCAAAGAGGTTGCGATAGGCGTCGAAGCGGGGAAACGTCTCCTCCGTGTAGCTCACGGCGTCACCTTGCTGCTCTGCCACCAGCAGCTTCAGGCCCCGCAGCGCCGCATCGCGTGGGGCGAACCAAGGGAACACCAGGGCCTTGGCCGCCCGCAGGTAGCGCACCCCGAAGCGCTTCAGCGTGCTGTCGGCCAGCGGGACGATGCCGAAGGCCGCCTTGGTGGTCTGCGTCTCCTCTTCGTCCAGCAGCTCTCCCAGCGGCAGCGCCCGCTCCCAGATGCGCCGCGCATCTTCGCGCGCCCTCCTCGCCTCCGCCTCCTCCTCCTCGTGCTCTCCTTCCTCAGGGCCGGGAGCCGGGACCCCGCGGTGCCGCAGCTCCACGGCAGCCTGCAGGTCCTGCCAGCCGCCCTCGGCTAACGTGGCGGTGCAGAGGAAACTGCCCGTCGTCTTGTCGATGAACAGCGTGAAGGGCGGCCCGGCGGCGGTCGGCAGCTCCGGCCCGAACAGGCTGGGGGCGTGCAGGCAGCTGTAGCCGTCCTGGAACGGGATGCCCTGCGCGCGGAGGTACCGCCGGATCTCGGTGACGGAAACGGCGGGCGCGGCGCCGCCGGGCTCAGGCAGCACGTCCTTCTTGTACCGCCGCTGCGCCACCCGGCCCGGCCCCGCCGCCCACGGGGAGGCCCCGCGGCTCCGCGCCCCGCCGCGCAGCAGCGGCAGGAACCGCCCGGAGGCCCTGCAGGGCCTCAGCGGCACCGCCGCCATCCCGCCCGCGCATCGGCCCGGCTCAGGCCGCCCCCCCCACGTGGAGCCCCGCGGGCGCCGCCATGTCTCCCGCGTTCGCCGTCACTACCGGCGCGCGGCGCAGCCGGACGCTCTCTCTCCCTTTCCCCTCCTCGCGGAGCGCCGTTCCGCTTCCGGGAGGCGAGATGACGAGCCGCGGGACGGCCAGCCGCTTCTTGACGGCCGTGCTGCACAACGGCGTGGGCCGCTACGTGCGGCAGCTGCAGCGGCTGCAGGTGGTGTTCAGCCCCGCCGCGCCCGACGCCCGCGGAGCCAGGTGAGCCCGCCGCCCGCCGCCCCGCCGCGTGGCCTCTGAGCCCTGACCTCGGATCCCTCCTCCGTCCCGCAGGCAGTTCGTGGAGGAGGAGGCGGTGGACTTCGCCCGGCGGCACCCGGACGTGGTGGTGTACGTGCGGCCGTGCGACTGCCCCGCGCCCGTGCTGCAGGCCGAGTACCGTGAGTGCGGGGCGGGGAGGGGAACGGCGGGAGGCGCCGCGGGGACGGCGTGGCCACACCGAGCGTCCGTCTTGTCCCGCAGTGAACGGCACGGTGCGGGAGGAGGTGATCGCCAGCAAGACGAGCGAGGAGATCGTGCAGCTGGCCGCCAAGCTGGCCTCCCAGTCCGGCCTGGACATCGTGCGCATCCGCAAACCCTTCCACACCGCCAACCCCAGCATACAGGGCCAGTGGCACCCGCTCACCAACAAACCCTCCGCCCTTACCGTGCGCGGCCCGCGCAGGGCACCGCAATAAAGCCGCACGCTGAAGAACCGCCGCTTCCACGCAGAGCCGTCGCCTTTATTGCCCTGGGGCCGTACCGGGGGAATGCGATGTGCCCTTGGGGTAGCTCGTCCACCCCAGAGAAGGAAGAGAATGCCCGGCGGGGAGGGGGCTGCGCTCTGGGCGATGCCCACAGTCCAGGGGGTGGCAGAGGGGGACATGGAGGGACAGAGCTGGGGTGCCCCTCTTGTTCCCAGGGTGAGGGAGCAGAGGTAGATGAGGGTGGAGAGGGAGTTAGGGCCAGCAGGGCCACAGGGAGCTGGAGGCCCCGCAGGGAGAAAGCCTGGGGCAGGGCTCCTCAGCATGCGAGGGGACAGTCTGTGGCATGGGGGCAGCGGCCAAGATCCCAGCATCTGCTGGCAATGCATGAGGATGCAAAAGTGCATCGTGTCCACTCTGCAGGGCAAGGATGCCGAGAGGATGCTGGTCCAGTCCCACACCGCATGGCGAAGATGCAGACAAGCCAACTGGCGTGCATGGCCCTCACGCACGGACAGCAGTCCTGCTGCCAGCAGCACCCTGTGGTAGGAAGGCAACATGCTGTCAGGGTCCGGCTCCCCACAGTGGTATCCCTCCCCATAGCACTCATCCCGCATCTCACCCTGGGCTGATGGCAGGCACAGGCAATTTCATCCCACTTACGGGGACAACTCTCCTCTTCTTCGCTGTCCCTCGCTGAGCATCTGTCCTGCAGGCAGCCCTGGGGAGCAGATGTGCAGCAGGCAGCAGCTGGTGGTCCTGCAGCACAGCCCCAAGCCCACAGTCCCGCTCTGCACCCACCTCTCAGTGCCTGGGCACCCAGGGCTGGGGATGCCCAATGGGGTGGGCCAGGTCCACACATCCAGGACAGGGTCTTGCCTGCCTGGATAGACAGATGGACATAAGACATAAGCCCTCCCTCCCCATGTCCACCGTCAGCTGTGCTCCAGCTCCTGCCTCCAGTTTGTGGTCGCCATCGGTGGGTTTTATACATAAATAGAGCTCCCAAATTTAAATAGATTCTTCTTTGGGGGATTTTTCCCTTTCTTTTCCCATTGTTTTTTTTTTTCTGTACATCAAGTCTCAAAAGTGAGTGAAAAGCCAAAGGGATGGCCGAGCCCGGGCCCAGCCCGGCGCTGCGGTCCCAGAGGTAGTTTTGCTGAGTCTGTAACACTGCTGGCAGGGGTGGGAGAAAGGACTGGTGGGATCCCGGTCCTACACGGAACTCTCATCCAGCTTCTCCACTAGCTGCATGTGTTTCCGCTTCTCCAGGATCTTGCTGAGCTCCTCGGTGAAGGACGCGCTGTAGAGCGGTGAGGCCAGCGGCTCGTCCTGCTGCTGCAGCAGCATGTAGCTGTTGCCGTTCATCTTGCGGAGGACGCTGGGCAGGGAGCCCACCCCGTTGGTGAGCTCGGTGGGCAGCGGTGGCGGCGGAGGGGGGGGCACGGCCACCGGCAGCTCCTTGGCTGGGGACACGATGGCCGTGGGTGCTTCACCAGGGATGATGCGCAGGCAGGGATAAGCCAGATCCTCCTCATCCTCCTCCTCCTCATCCTCCCCGTGGGCCTTGCGCAGGCAGCTGGCCGACACCGTCTGCAGCTCAGGACTCACAGCCCGCGGCTCCCCCAGCACGTACTTCCCCCTGCGCTTCTCCAGGCAGGACACGTAGAGAAGGACGGTACCCAGCACAGCACACAGCACCACCAGCACCACGATAGCAGACACATAGACCACCTTGGTGTCTCCAGAAGCTTGGCTGGCCGCTATGGGCCCAGAGGTGGTGGTGATGGTGGCACGAGGCAGCTGGGGCAGCACGGTGAGGCTGTAGGCAGCCAGCAGTGTGCGCAGCCCACGCTCCTCACCATAGCAGCGGTACTCGCCGCTGTGTCCTGGCAGTGTGTCGGTCACCAGCAGCCCATCCACCCCAACGCGCAGCTGCTCCTGCCCAGTGCCTGGCACCTCGCTGCCATTCAGCAGCCAGACAGCCCGTGCCAAGTTGGAGCGCTGATCACAGGGCAGCAGCACATCATCCCCACGCAGCACCGTGCGGTTCTTCCACGGCAGGGAGCCTGGGGGGACAGATGTCAGAAGGAAATTCATCACATCAGGGAGGTGAGGCCCTGGCACAGGCTGCCCCAGAGCGCTGCGGGTGTCCCCCGCATGGAGGTGTTCAAGGCCAGGTTGGATGGGATCCTGGGCATCCTGACCTTCCAACTCCCCACGGCAGGGGTTGAAACTGGATGGGCTTTGGGGTCCCCTTCCAACCCAACCACTCTGTGATTCTTTGATGACTTACCACGCCCAGAGCCGCTCCGGCATCCCACATTGCCACTCTGCACATCCTGCACCAGCCCTGTGCTGTGAGACACTGCGGTTCAGCACGTGGCCCTGCTGCTGGCCCCACAGCCACCCCATCAGCACTGCCCCTACCTGTCCCCGCTGGCTGTGTCACGGCAGGCCCCGCCATCCCAGGCGCAGTAGGGGTCCCGGGCGAGGATGCAGTCATAGCAGGAGCTGTACCTGGCGCAGGAGGCCAGGGGCACCTGCAGGACTCCACTAGCAGCCCCCACATACAGGCTCCTCTGGGATGGAAAGACCTGGCTAGCAGTATTGCCCCACACATGGGGTGCCCCGTGCCACCCCAGCCCCATAGCCACCCCTCACCTGTCTGCGGGACACCACCAGCGTCTCCACGGGCTGCGGGTCCTGGAACACCTGCACCTCCTCGATGATGTGGAGGCTGGAGCCCAGAACTACGGCCTTGTGCAGCCAGCCGTCCCCTGCAGACGGGGCAGTGAGGGGATGCGGGACACCCAGCACCACGCAGGGACCCGTCCCATGTCCTAGACTCACCCGTCCCCATGAAGAGCACGTCGTAGGAGCGCCCATCGAGGGCTTGTACCCGGTCCACCGCCAGGCGGCTGTATGCCACACTTCTCTTTACCAGCAGCGGCTCGCCACCCGCCGGCTGCACCTCCTCAAACATCAGCGGGTGCAGCTTGACAAAGTCCAGCACGCTGTTGGGCAGGTCCTGTGATGAGTTGTAGCCCCTTCGGCGGAAGCTGTCTGTGATGCACTGCCCAGGAGGAGGACATGGCTGTCAGTGGGGGCTCACCCACCTGCGCCCCCTCCCCAAAACCCACACATCCCCAGCACTCACAGAGCCCGGCCGAGGTTCGGGCACTGCTCCATCGTAGCGGGACCACTTGCGGGAGGAGTCCTGGTACTCCATGTAGGGCCCCTCGAAGGCACGCTGCACCTCGGAGATGTCGTAGCGGCACACAGCCGAGGCCTCCATTGTCCTCCTGGGTGCAGGACCTCCTGTTATTCCCCACCACCACCTCCACCCAGCTCCATGCCTGGCCCCACTCACCACTGCGCTGAGAGCGTGAAGGCGGCGTAGAAGACGGTGCTGGCCCAGCCACCGCTGTCCAGGCTGCAGACGCTGCGCAGCACCTCATAGTAGGGGATGTAGCACACCAGGCGTGCCTTCATGAAGGACGTCCACTTGCGCTGCAGAATCTTCTTTCCCCCCAGATCACTCTGGGAAGGTGGGCAGGGGTTCTTGGTGGGTGCACTGAGCCCGGCACCCCCAGTGCAGAGCCAGTCCCCATCCTCACAGTCCCCATTCCCCATTAGGGGAACCCCTCAGAGCACACAACTAAGTCTGCCCCCAGGTGCATGCCTGGATCCCCTGCTCCTCAGGGACAGCCTTACCTTGCACACACGGGCCACCCGGGCCACCCGAGCCACCTGGCTCTTATCGAAGAAGGATGTGGTCTCCTCGCCTGCTCGCTCCATGAAGAAGTAATAGATTTTGTCATCGTCACCCACAGGACTGTCCTTGCTTTCCTGGACCAGCATGGAGGCCACAAACTCGGCATCTGGGGGAAATGGAGCGAGATGTAGCAATTGGGAACTCACCAGGTCCCCAGTCCCTCTCTGCCTCAGTTTTCCCCTGCAGTACAGCACTCTGGACAAGCCCAGACACCAATCCCAGGGGACAGAGACATCTTTACCATTCAGCCAGTGCAGAGGAGACTCCTCTGTCTTCAGCGGCCGCTGGTGCAGGTTCCTCCGGATATCAGGGAGGCTCCGAAACTCATAGCGTGTGGCTGTGTACAATCCACCATCTGCACAGGGCAGGCACCCGTCAGCATGGCCACCATACCCCAGGGACTGTGGGGACAGCCCCAAAAGCCACCACATCCACGTGCCCCAGGCAGAGGAGGAGGATACCCAATCTCACTGCACCCTCCACAAGCACAGTCCATGTGGTTGACTGCCCCCATAGTGGCCCAAAGTGTCCTGACCTGGTGAAGTATCACTTACCCACAATGAGGCCAGTGTAGCCACGGGAGGGGTCGTACGGGCACTTCTCTTTGCCTTCCTCGAAGCGGGAGGGCAGTGTGAACTTGTCAGCATCCTGCAGGACCGGGGACATCAGCACGGGGGACATCAGCACGGGGGACAGCCCTGTGCCCATTAGGGCAGGGACAAAGCCACACCCACGGCCATCCCCTCCAGGCAGGATGAGTTCCCAACAAAACACCACCACCCGATGCTGTCCTCAGCCGGGCTGGGTCCTCCCTGCAACATCTGTGTCCCCATAGGAGTTATTTTCTTTGAGGGTTGTAGTTCAAAGCACTTTAAACAATGATGGAGCCAAGGCTGGCAGTACAGCTGGGGACATGGGGACACACATCATGGCTGAGGGAGGGATGCGGGACATGCAGGAGCCCACATGGCCGTCAGGGACCTGTGGCATCAGTGTGACAGCGACTGTGCCCAGGTAGCTGCCACCCCAAAGCCACCCCGGATGGGGACAGGAGGACTCACAATGGAAGCACAGAGCGGGTGAAAGGCGTAGGTGCCACAGGCGTAGAGATGCGTGGTGTTTAGCCTCTGTAGGAGCCGCACGTGGTTGAAGCACTCGGTCTACGGTGGACAGGACGCACATTACTGCCTGGGGGCACAGCCTGGGGACACCACGGGACCCTCACTGCCCGGTAATGGCCGTACCTTGTTGTTCCTGCCCTTCTGCAGGCAGTCCAGCCGCTTTTCCGGAGATGCTTCCCAACGGATCTGTACAGGGAGAAGTGCCATCACAGCATGAAACCCCACACCAAAAGCTTGGAGGCTGCTTGGGAATGGGGACAGCAGCTCACCATGCGGTGCGAGCCATGGGCCACATTGCTGGCATTGAGAGCAAAGATGGCCCCCCTGGCGCCCACATACAGCATACCCCGCTCGTCCTCCAGCAGCAGTGTGGTGTAGTTCAGGCTGTGCCCGCTGAACCGCCGCACACCTGACAGCTCTGCGGAGAAAAATGGTTTTCACAGTGAAACGCTCCCAAACAGAGTGAGCTTCCTTCCTGTTCCCTCCCCGAGCCCTCTTACCGTCAAAGGTGACTGTCATCCTGGGGGTGGCATCCAGGTCGGTGGCAGAGCGCCAGTTGGGGTAGCCCATGGCCGCGGCCACCAGCAGGGCGGTCAGCAGCCGCACCGCGTCTCCACACATCTTCAATCCCTGGTGCCCAGCAAGGGCAGCCCCCGGCTGGAGGAGCCGGCACAGCTGCTGCTGGGGATGGGCTGCCCTGGAACCTTCTGGAACAGAGAGCCAAGGTCAGAGGGGCTGCTGGGCACAAGAGTTTGGTGGTCCCCAGGTTACCCATGTGCAAAGAAGGCAACAGGGCAGCCGGTGTGACCTGAAAACCAAAGGGCTCTGTTCCTTCCCCAGAGCCAAGCCAGGAGCCGGCAGGAAGTAAAGGAAACCCCAAATGTGTAGAGAGCTGACTGGGACTGCTGAGGACAGAGGGCTGCGGGGGGGTGCTCCAGGCACATGCAGCACAGGGTAAAGCGAAGGCAACACAAAGTCACTTGGTATCTCCACCATGTGTTTTCAAGCAAGACTGTGTTCTTTTCCCCCCAGTGTTTTTCCACTATATTTCAGTTTCCCTTTTATCAACAGCTGCCTTGAAGCTCAGCATCTTCAGCTCCCAGCCAAGAAGCAAATCCTGGCTAAGAAACCACCACAGGGAGGCATGGAGCTGAGTGGCCACACGAGGACACCAACGTCCACAGGGACTGAAACTGTGACAGGAGGATGGGGAGACATGGGGGAGATGAGGATAGGGATGCCAGCACCCCATAGCTGCCTGCCAAGAACAGAGACCATAGGATATCTCCACACAGGAGACCTCCCCGCAAAGCAGCTGGCATTAACCTGTTTGCTTAGGGCTTTTTTTTATATATACACCAAATACCTGGCCCTCCAGCGAAGCTGTTCAAACACGCCTGCTGCAGACGGATTCCCTAAAGCAAATACCGCACCGGGCTTTGGGCAGAGGGGAGGGAGAAGGGAAACAACAGGAAACCAGCAGGGTACAGAAACGAGCAAGCAGGCACACAGCATCTCCTGCCCATGTCACATCTCAGCGCTACGAGCTCAGCACAGCCCAAACACCACCGGGAACAAACACAGCACGGCCACGCGCATGGACCGCACCTCCTGCGTGCACACCCTGCCCTCGTCACACCGCCGCCGGACTTTACCCGGGAGAGCCCAGGCAGTGCTGGGGCTGGGCACGTTGTGCCGTTCTAGCCCAGCGGCTGCGCCCATGTACGAAGGCTCCTTCACCCCCACGTCAGATCAACTTTGTCCTGAAGGAAATGAAGCAGCTCGCTCCAAAAGCTCGTTAATGTTTTACCCGAAGGAAAGAGCTGCTCTGAGCTTCTCTTTTCTATTTATTTATTTTTGTGTGTGGGTTTTTTTTTTTAGTTTTGTTTTTTTTTTAATACCCACAGAATGGGGGAAGGAGCGGGAGGAAAATGAAAGCATCCCTAGTCCAACTCAGATCAGAGTACTGCTGTGCTCTCCATGCCACAGTGACCTGGGCACTCCATGTCCACTCCCCACACTGCTGCCAATCTGAACCCAGAGCATTGGATGAGCTGGGGAGCACCCAGAGCTCCCCCGGTTATCAGCATCCCTAAGCCGCACTCTGCAAAGCTGTGCATGCACCTGAGCCACACAGCTATGGGCTTAGGGAGGCAGGGAGATGAGGGAAAGCCAAGCAAAATGACAATCCTCATTTAGGGTCATGCAGCTCCAGCAGCCCTCAGTTTTGGAAAGGCAGCGAAATCCTGCGAGATCCCGCGGTACCCAGCGAGCAGAGGTGGGATGAGGGTTGCCAGGCAACTTTCTGCAGCTTTTCCCCAACTTACAGCCCTCCCATGCCTCTGCTGCAGCAGATCATAAAACATCCCTGGGTGCAGTGCCAGCGAACGGCCCCAAACGGGGCGCAGCAGGGACACCCAGCCCCATTCCCACACGCCTGCGGCTGCGACCCAGGGCAGGAGGCAATCCATTCCTCAGCCAGACAGGACTTTGCCGACAGCAGCAAGAAAAACGCCAACTTGGCAAAAGTCCTCCGGGAAAAGGGGATCTGTGATGCGCTGGGTGCTGGGCCGGGGAGGGAAGGAGCGCCGTGACCTCCACCAGCACCGCTCTGCGTTTATTTTTGTTCTTTAAACAAAACCCTGCTCGACCCCGAGGCGCTTCCCAGGAGATGCACGAGATAGCGCGGCTCACGCGATGCTTCTCCTTTCCCCAAATTTGGGATGTGGGCGCAGCAGAGGGAGAGCGCCATGGGAGCCAAACAGGAACTGAGAAGTGTGCTGAGACACCGCAGTGGGCGCCGAGCTCCCCCCAGCAGCACACGGGGGGATGAGGATGCGAGGTGCTGGACCTCCATCTTCCTGGGGGCATCACAGGGATGAGCCATCTCCACATCCCACCTCCTCCGTCCTCAGCATCGCTGCCCCAGCCCCACATTTCTACTGGGAGGGAGAGGCAGGCAGTGCTGGGAAAATCTCCACCGGAAAAAAAAAGCAAACAGTTTCTCTGCATTTTTTTTTTTCCCTGCTGTGGCAAAACAAGACTGCGTGGCCAGATGGGCAGACAGACAGGCATACAGCCTTCTGTGCCCAGCAGAGCTCCCAGCAGAGGTTCCCGTGCCGGTTCTCTTGCACGCCGTGGCTCATTGTGCAGCTCAGCCTTAAAAGGATTTGTGGTCAGAGCACACTGCTTCTACAGCAGAAGCAGGAGAATAATTTTAGAATTAAACCCCCAGGAACAATTAAAAATGAAAAAACAACAACCCAACTCAAAGCCTCAACCCTAAATTTAAAGGGACGCTGCAGAGCCAGCAGCTGCCGGTGCAGCTTCGCTCAGATTTGGGGTTTGGGACAAACTCGGGCCCATTTGCTCATCCCCATGGACGCACTGCGCTCCATCTTGCTGGGCCATTGGTCACCACGGGATTTGCTCGGAGTTTTGCCACAGGGGTTCTCCCTGGTGCTCAGGTTTCAGGCACTACTCCCATGGCTGTAAGATACGGGAAGAGGGGCCCCGGCCCATGGGGCTGCGGGCGCTCCCTGCACGCCTGTTCCTTTATGCTTTATTTATTCCAAAGATAAACTGTTCCCTTATTTCTTTTTCCCCAAAGTCCAGCAAAACCAGATGATGACAGCGCTCTTATTGGTTCCAGCTTAACGACCTCGTCTTGTTTGTTCCAGTTTCCCTCCAAAACAACTCCAGCTTTGGGGTCAAACTGCAGCTGATGCTCTTTAAGTCTGCATCCCACTCCTGTACACCCCACAAGTGTGGGACTCGGCCTTTCCCGATGTGGTTTGCATGCAGCCACGCTCACATCAGAGCCGGGTGGATTTGCATGGGTTTGGCAGCGGTGAGATGGAGTGATCCTCAGTCCCCAGGGGAGCAGCAACAGGGCTGAGCCCAGCCAGAGCACGGTACCAAAGGTGCCCCAAAGCCTCACCTTCCTCCTGCTGCAGCCACCCAGCTGCCCTCACCCCAAATTCACTGCCGGTATTCCTGGCGGGGAAAGCAGGGAAAGGTTCCAACAGATGGACGTTGGAGGTGGGGGGAGGAAAAGCTGCGCAGCCCTCGCTCGTGGGAGCTGAAAGGGTTGGCACTGATTTTGTGTTTTTCTTTCCCCTCCGGTTGCAACACAAAAACAAAGCGCTGATAGGGATCGCAGCACGGCGGGGGCAGCTCTGCCCCGTACCCGTCGGGCACATCCCATGGGGGGCGGCGGCAGCGTCACCACGACCGTCGGGGTGGGGGCCGCAGCCACAGAGGGGGCCGGCAGCGGGCATCACTCACAGCAACAGATCCCTGCCTCTGGGGGAGTCTATGCTCCTCGTCCATTTTGGGCAGCCTCTTTGTCTTCACAGACGGTGCCTTGGCACCACCGGATCCCTGCCGCGTCCCCCACCCCCGCCTCAGGCTCCGGGATGGAGGAGCCGCGGGCCCACCTGGGCTGCGAGCGGGGCGAGCACAGCCCCAGTAGGAGCGGGAGCAGGGCGCAATGCACTGCCCCGGCACAAGCACGGTCCCCGGCACGATGCAACCCCCCTTGCTAGGGGCGTCCCCGAGCTCCAGCGGCGCAGCCCCAAATCCTGAGCGGAACGGGCCGGGAGGATGGGCTGCACCGCCACCAGACCCGCACGTCCCTTCCTCCCCGCAGCTGTGGTCACCCCAAAATCCCCGCCAGGTGTCCCTCGCCTCCATCCTGCCCCGGGCCCTGCTGCCGCCGGCACCGCTCCCAGCGCCCCCCGACCCCCGATCACCTCCGTCCCGAAGCCTCTCCGCTGCCCGGCCCGGCGCACAGAACCGCACCGGCACCGGACCGTACCTGTGCACGCAGTGCCAGACCCGACACTCGCAGCCAGCGCACCCGGCGCCCGCACCCAGCACCCCAAATCCTGCCCGGTGATGAGCCAGCACCCCGTGCTCAGCACTCGCACCCTACGCTGGGGCACGCAGCACCTCGTCTGCGGATCCAAAGCCCCAAATCCAGTACCCGAACCCCGCACCCCACCGGTAGCTGGCCCCGATCCCATCTCCCCGGCGCTTGCCTGCGGCTCGGCTCGCTCCGGTTCCGCCCGGCGCGGCGCGGCGCGGCGCTGGCTGAGCTGCCCTCCGCAGGTCGCTGTGCGCGGCCCCGCCGTGGGCCGTGCCGCGCCGCCCGCACTACGGCGCCCCCTGCCGGCCGCCCTGCGCGCCGCGCTCCGCCCCGGGTCTGTGAGGGCCACGGACCTGCGGTGCTGCGGGGGCCGGAGCGCGGAGCGGCGGGAGTGCCCTCCAAGTCCCGCAGCACCCCGACTTGAGGCCACTCCGGTCCCCGAACCCGGTGGGTGGGTGCCTGGAGCACGGCCAGCAGCCAGGTGCAGGAGCCTACACGCCCAGCTGGGCACCGCGCCCGGCCTCGAGCTGTGTGAGGGCAAAGTCCTCAATGGGGGAAACAACAGCACAACCTCGTCGCACCACGGCCAGCTTGCAGCCAAAGATCCTCTGGTGCGCTGCCCTGGGGGTGCTGGCACCCTGTGCGTGGGGCGTGCTGGGAGTGCTGAGCCCTTCGGAGCCTCCTCTGCCCCACGTGGCTGAGCCCTCCTTCCTCATCCGTCACTAAGACGCGAAGCTCAAGCGCGGCATGCAATCTGCAGGTCGCATCTAGGGCACTGGGAAGCCGGCTGGAGCGGGAGGTGGGTGCTGTGCCTCCCTGCCGTGTTGGCAGAGCCGTGCAGCACCGCTCCCAGCGCACTGCCCTCTCCCCAGGCTGCTGGCCGCTCTCCCGCCACGCCTGCACGCTCCAGCGGCTCATTGCCATTTCCTCCCGTCCTCTCCTCCACACCTCGCCTTGCCTCCTGCCCACCCCATGTAAGACAGACACCTGCGCACCGGGTTCACCGCAGCCCTGCCTGGCACGGCCAACCAGACCCAGAGCACAGCAGGGCAGCAGCGCTGCCCACATAGCTTTTTTGGCATGGAGAATTCAGAGCGTGTGGTCCCCTAGGTTGCATCCCGACTCCACTGTGGCATGGCAGGGGGGAAGCCACCTGCATGCCAGCCGTCCCTATGGGGAGGTCAAGGAGGCTGTGCTGCCTGCAATTGCCTTCCCTGGTACAAGGATGGGCACAGGAGAGCTGTTTGCAAGCACCAGCCACGGTTCAACCCCTTTCTCCCCAGGTCCCATCCCATCCCGTCCTGTCCCACAGCAGCACTCCTGTCCGCCCACGTGGCCCCAAGCCCAAATTCAGGCTGTGCTAGCTCCTGGCCTTGGAGTGGGGTAATTAGTGCATGAGCAAAGAGCAAGCTGAGCGCGGTGTGCTCCACACTGCCTATTTACAGGCCTGAGCTTGCGAGGCTTTAATTAATTAACGCGAGTCATCAGCAGCTGGAAACAGATCTATTTTCAGAGCTTCCGCTTGCTCTGCTGCCCCCATGAGATTCTCCGGAGCAATGGAGGGCCCTGCTGGGCCTTGCCTGCCATGTGAAGCCATCCTGGGGCTGCAGCTGGAGCTGGGGGCCCAACACAGTGCAGTTGTGCTCCAGCCGTGCGGCGCAGTGCAGCCGGGTGGGGAGGAAGAAGAGGAGCCGCTGCAGTGCCCAGCTGTCCAGCCCAGCCTGGCTGCTCCGTAATTGCCCTTTGTGCCACTCAGAACAACCGGCTGGTTCCCAGTGAGCCTGCCTGCAGCCCGCTTTGCCCCTCTGACACCCAGCCAGCATGGTGATGGCTTCCACATCACACCACACCCCCATCCCAAGCAACACCGCTAACAAGAACACAGCCACAGTGCTCCATTTACTGTTGGGATCATCTCACAATGTGGAGAGTGCCGCTGCCCTTGGCACACAGGGTGCTCTAGGCTGCCCCCAGTTTGCTGCCTTTGGTCAGAAAGCACTTGGTGGGGAGGCCGGGCTGCTCCTGGTGCTGCTCCTCCTTCGCTCCAAGCGAGAGCAGCAAGATGCAGCCCCATTGCAGGGATTTGGCTCAGTGCCGCCAGTTACAAAACCTCCTCGTGCTGGGAGCTGGGGATTTATGAAACCCTGTGAAATCCATGCTAATCCAGCATGGTGCCCACTGGCTCGAGTCCCCAAGCCTGTACTGAAAGGGGTGCAGAAAGAGCCCCTTGGTTCTGGATGAACCCAGCGCAGGAACGGCAGCAGCACTCCCCCAGCTCCCCTGCATCCCTCCAGGCACAGCACAGAGCTGGACACACGGAGCCATTGGTGCTCAGGTCATCCTGACCCAGCACAGTTCTTGTGAGCCCCGCCAAGCGCATCGGCCCTGGGATGAATGCTCCAATAGGCGCAGAGCATGAAAGGCACAGGATCCTCTTCCACTGAAGTGTTGAGCAAAGTTTCCGAACCACCGTTCCTTGGGGCCGGGAGCCAGCAAGGAAAATTACAATTGCAGGATTTGTCTGAGAAAGCTGTAATGTGCCAGAAGCCAGGGGCATGGCCAGCCCTTGCTGCTGCGGCTCCAGCGGGCACTTAGGGCTCAGTTTCTTTTATGGATGAGACTTCTCCCTGACTCCATTCAGCAGCTCATGTCACTGCCCCCAGCCCCTGCACAATTGGATGCCACACTCCCCCCAGCCGGTGCCGACGTTTACAAGTGGAAATGGGGATGCTTTGCCCAGGTGCCGGTTGGCTGCAGGGAGCAGCAGCTGAGTCACGGCAGCCTCCGCCTGCCCTCCCCTGCCCTGCTGCCCCAGGGAAAGGCAGGGGAAGCCTTCCCAGCCGGTCCGGATGGACAGACAGCACACGGCAAGGGCAGGTCAGCAGCAGTGGGACAGGAGGGAGCAGAAACACTCCAGGGATGAGCAGCGATGGCAGGGACGCAGCCACACACTGCCAACTGAAGGGCTGTGACCTCTCCCTCCTGCACACGGAGCCCAGGCTGCTGCCATCCGCACGATTTAAGCAGCAGCCTCGGCAGCACCGTAAATAACCTGCAAGCGCTGGCAGCCGAAGCTGAGCGCGTACATCACTCTCACGGTTTTTCTTCGCCTCTGACACTTTGATAGGGGCGAGGGGGTGGGGGAAGGAGAGGAGCTTCCAAAATTTATGAGCTGGGATTTAAAAATACATCTGCTAGAGAAGCGCTGCAGAGATGGGGAGGAGGGCGGCTGCAAGGCTGCCTTCAGGAAGGCGCAGCAGGGAGCCGGCAGAGCTGGGAGAGCTGCGTGGCTGTGTCGAAAGCAGAGTGCCCTGGGGGGACTGCACTGCAAGTGGCGCCTGTCCGTGCCGTGCATGACAAGGCTCCTGTGAAACAAGAGGTAGGGGCAACAAATCAGGTGCTAAAATCCCTCCAGCCCTATGGTAACGTCAGCTGCCATTCAGAGCCGGTCGGGCTCTCAGCTCCTCTTGCCTGCAGCTTCTCCTCTCCATCCCCAAGACGACCATCCATCCACCCTCCCATGGCTCCCGGCCTCCTCTGGGCACAGAGCCTTTGTTGAGGAGGGGCGTGCAGCTGGGATGTAGCCGAGACATCTCCTCGGTGGGGAATCATGGGTCAGAAAATGAAGCCAAGTGGACATCAGGAAGAATCACTGTGATATCCGAGTGCTCGGCCTTACAGGCACTGCCCCAGTGGGGTGCTGCACAGTGAGCGGCTGAGAAAGGCTGCCCAATCCCAAGCAACATTTAAAAGTAATTTAGACTGAGCGACAATGATGCTCAAAGCAAGTATTTGTCTGCTGAGACAAAATGAGCTATTTCAGTCTCGCCTCTGGTTTTAGTTTTCTTTCCAAGTCAGAGGACTGGCAAAGGCTGAGCTGAGGCCTTCCTGCACAACCCGCAGCTCCCTCACTCCTCCAGAGCGATGCTGTGAGTGCACAGGATGGTCCCAAGGATCACAGCCCTGCTGAGGGTGATGCTCTGCCATGGAAACATCTCCCTCCGAACAACACATCTATCAGCATGCATCTCAAAAGCAGCCCAGCCTCTGTGACGTGGTGAATTTTGCTTCCATCTGAGGAAGATGGCAGCCGTACCCTCTGAGTGCTGTTTGTTAAAGCTCTGGGGTAACCCATGGAAGGGATGTCAGAGGAGCCTTGGGCACGTGCCGTGTGGATATGCAACTTCTCAAACATAGGCTTTGCAGCTCAGTGCAATTTTTCTGCAGCCTTTGGTCTGCATCTCACCGCTACCTCTGCTGCTCAACCAAGTTAATGTATTCCAAAGCCTGACGGATTTTCCCCTACGCAGTCAGATTTTGGGAAGTTACACCGAAATGCCTCACTCACAAACAGCCTTTGTCCTAAGGTGTTTATGGACTGGGCAGCATTCATCACATCCTGGTGTTCTAGCACATCTCCTATTACATGACGGTGTAAATGGGGCTTCTTAAGAGTCAGCTGAATTCCTTTGATTCATGTCCATGCATATCCATACAGCTAATTTACCTTTATAAACAACAAGGAAAAAAAAAAAAGAAAAGAGAAGAGGAGGGAGCTATTAAAGCCAGTGTCAAAGCCAGCAAA